CAAGGATCCCCCTTTTCCATCACCATCACCCAGTCTCTGCTTCTGTGCAGTGGTTGCAATCTACTTTCTATCCTTGACTGCAAGTGGGGTAGCTCTGCATTCCAAGAGCAGTAAAGGGCACTGCTGCTCAATTCACACATGGAGCAAAGATCCTCATGCAACTTTGGAATGTTTGAACTCCCAATGTTCAGAAGTTAGATGAGGCAAACCTGAGGTTTTGTCTTTCCACATACGAATTTTGAAGATTTCTATTCACACAGCTCACAGAAAGGGCAGGATGCACATTGTACAGAAATGCACATCTGCCCCAATTTTCATAAGGTATCAGTGAGATGCCATGCAGTGGGGACACTTTGATGCCTTCAGTGCATTGGTTTTTCACTACTTGCTGGGAAAGTGAATATGATTATACTGATCCTAAACTTCCCAGTTATGCAAAGCTTATAGTTTGTTCACTGGGAAACATTTACTATTCACAAAGGAAGGAGACTGGACCCTGGCAAGTTCAGGTCAGCATTAGAGTCCAGATGTGGTTCAAAGGCTGAGAAAGCTGAAAAGAAATGACCACAAAATTTCCTTGAGAGTACTCCATCACAGGGAACTTCTGTGCTGCCAGGCTACAGTTATTCACAATTGAGAATCTAGTAAATTATTATTCTGAAACTAAATTTTCAGAATTTAGTTTCAGATGGGAGAATTCAAGGCCTTGCTCTCTGACTCTGTGAAATTGGAATTTGAGGTTCTGTTTCAGAGTAATTTTCAAACATGAAAAAGAGGCAGTGGACGAGTGAGTTAATTTACCTCTCTCTATTTATGAGCTGTTTGGAGCTAGCTTACCAAACCTTCACATGTAGCTAATATTGAGTATCATCCACACATGTCCAGGAAGCTGTGAATACTAAACTGAAAACTTGCCTTGTTTGATTTGCCATATCAGATAAATGAAGGCTACTATTTCCTTATTGAAAGAAATGCATAATTAATGCAGAGCAATGTGGAAATTATATGGTATAAATTTCAAAACTTTTAAAGACAATTATTTGAGAAATCAAGGCAAGCAAATTAAATCTTTCAAGTGTTCACAGCAGTAAAGAGGAATGCTTAATAATTTACTCATATAAACTGTGTGAAAGCTGCAGAGGCAATCTTGCTTCCAGGCATATTGCAAGCTTGGAGTGATGATGTCAAATGAGTGTATAACACAGCTAAATAATTCTCATTCTCCTCAGATGCATGGAATACATTACTAGAAAGAAAAAGTTTTAAATTCAAATTCTTCTCCCTCCTCTAAAAATGTTCTTGAACCACAGGGATCCTGGGTAGGTCAGTAAACTGATCTGCTGGTGCTTTCTGGGGTGAAGAGATTTGTGAGAAAAATTGGGGTCTGAAACCAGATTTAATACCATCTAATAAAACAAGCAGAGATGCCACACAAAAAAATGAAGAGAGGCAGGACATCTCCTAAATCTCCTGTTGCTTCTTCTGCACCTAACACTGAAATGGTCATTGGGATGCAAAGGAATCAGTTTCACCAAAGGGAAAATTAATAGTGGGTCCTACAACAATTGTGCATGGATTTTATGAGTAAGAGTTTCTTTTCATTATTTTAAACCTATTTTCGAGGTAAATGTAAATTCCCTGAAATTCCCATCCCTTGTTCATCCCCTGCCCACCCTGCCCCTGCCCTTTTACTTCCTACTCCCATTATTTCAAATAGCATATTTAGAAACCAGCATACACAGAGCAGACATCCCTGACAGCATGAGGAGGAAAAGCATCACTGCAGTGTGCACAAGGCAGCACAAAACCAGAGCAGCTAAAGCACAGTCCAAGCTCCACTAATAGGATCTGTGGGAGACCACCCTTTTTTAGCAATTAATGAAGAGAGGTCAGATTTTAATGCCTTAATCATCTCCAAGAGTGAGGGTAGCAGCATGACAAATTAAACTTGATCTAAAAAATTGCATTTTTAATCCCTCTCCTGCTAGGCTACACCACCTCAGGCGCTGAAGTAAAGGAAGAAAAATAAATTGTAAAGTTTTTCCCCTTAAGTGTTCTGCAGATTTTAATTCTTCACTTGCACGTTGCCATCAACCTCTTCCCACCCTGCATCAATTGATCTCCACCCAGCTTCACAGGGGTAGTGAGCAGTTGAGTGGTTCCCATATGATTACCCTCCTGGAAGAGATGGAATCAGGCCAAGGGTTCAACTGATCCTGGGTATTTTCTGTTTCTGGAGGCAGATTTCCTTGTCTGCCCACTTCCTTTCCCTATGCAATTCTCAGTACAAAGCTAACATTATTGAATTCATACCCTTGTGCAGTTCCCTTGCTGTATTAAAGATGCCATCTCTGTTTCATGCCAGCCAACATGCACTCCCCTGCCCTGGGCTGTGGTATTTCATAGCCACAGCACACACCCTCCGCACAATGGCTCTGTGCCTCAGAGTTTGCTCTTTAGCTCAGGAGGGAGTCAGGATGGGGCAGATCCATCAGCGTTGTGCCCTGCACACCTGGCAGTGAGGAGTCATGTTCAATAATTCAGAATGAATTATGATAAAAGGGTACCCACAATTGTATTTGGCACTTTTAATAAAACAATGCAAACATCTTTTTTTGTCCTAGTCTCTTACATTTATTTTAAACACACCAAAGAATGAAACTTCCTTTAGCTATGGGGAAAAAATTACAGTTTTAAAAAGTAGTTCTCAGTCCCACTAGGAGCTGATGAAAATAAAACAAAATCATTTACTTACTAGAGTAAACAAACATTTTATTTTAGTCGTACAAAAAAATCTTATTTGAAAGTATGTTTTTAAATTCAAAATCAAAATGACACCAGAAGTTTAAACATGAAATCTGTAATAGTTCCATTATTATTTTTCTGCAGTAATTTTCTCAACACTCCACCAAAAGTGGAAATTTGAAAGGTGTTGTGAAATACTAGTGCAAGGAAAATGAACATGGTTCAATGTAATGCTTTAAGGCTCCACTTCACATTTATGGTCTAATTCCTCTCTAGTGGGGGTAGTAATAACAGGAAAGAAAGAGAAGCCTTTTGTTGCTCTTCTGCCATTGGTTTTTCAAGGGTTTGAAAACTGCTAGGAAAAATAAGTGCCAGAAGACAAAGTTCCTGCAAATAGAGCTAGAACTGAAATCAAAGTGATGTGAAAGCACACATACCAGCAGGGAGCAGCTGCCAGAGCCCCTTAAACTTTCAAGTTAAAATGAAACAATATACAAAGGCTCCCCCAAGGTTGTGCTCCAGTGTGTTCTTCATTTAGAGCTCTTGGTCTAGGAAGTTTTGCACAGTTACAGTGTGAGACACTGATGTGTTGGTCAGGTTTTCATTTGAAGACTCAGGGATGTCTGGCAGTTTTTCCTGGGCCATGCCCCGTGCTCACCCAGGGCACACACAGCTCCTGGGAAGGGAGTCAGGATGTGTGTTAGGTTCCTTTATTGGCTCAGACACCACTATATCCCATTGCCCTGGGGACTGTTTGCTGGGGAGCAGTTTGATTGAAATACAATCTCTTTTTTACTGCTTTTTATAAAAAGTAATGTATTTTTAATCAGCAAAACATTACCACAGCAATGAAAAAGTAGCTTAGAACATTGCCCCAGTCACCCTGGGACCTTGGCAGCACAACTATGGGGACAAGAGCTGCTGGCAGCCCCCATGTGGGTGAGGGATCTCAGCAGATCTCAGTCAGAAATTAGGATTGCTGGGAGTGAGTATTTGGCTGGGAAGTTGCTTAGAAGCACCGCAGTGGTCATGTGTTTTGGGAAGCACAGGGGGTGATCTGGGAGCTTGTTCAGCAGTGCCTGACCTGAATCCCTTCAGAACAAGAAACAGGACCTACTGCCTGGGATGCAGAGCTAAGGCCTGTGGGATCCTCATAAAGATCTTGAGCCAGCCTTAGGGACAAGAGCTCTTACTCCAGAGACTTTGTGTTCCTACTTGCAGCTCCCAAAACACTGGACAGCTTGATTTTGGATTTCAGTGGATGAATCCTTTACAGCTGACAGCCATGCTGGGCGATGGCATGAAGTGCAGAACATGACTTCTGTATTGTTCTGTAAGTTCTCACAGGGTAAAGAGTCATTCCTGCTGCTCTACTGCAAAATTACTCCAGGAGAGAAACCTTTACCTGGGATAAAGTCTCCCCCTCAGGATGAGATCCCACAGTGTTTAGTGTTCATGGGGCTGGTTCCAACCCTGCAGGGACCTTGTGAGGCAGCTCTTGCAATACAAACTGCGACCACCATCAATATGACTCAGGGCAGAATCTCTGCCTGTCACTCCGATTACCCAAGCATCAGTTTAAATTACAGTCTGTTTTGCACGAGTCTCATGTTCTTGGTTGTTTCCCAGACTGAGTATTCAAGAGGAAAGAGTGGAGTTGAGCACTCAGTATTGCAGCTTCAGTTCCCAATTATGCAGCAGCAAACTGCAGCACCAAAGTGGGAGCAAGGCTCTCCCGGCTGAAACAGGGAGGGGACGGCTGGCTCAGTGGAGCAGAGCCCAAGACCCAGCCAGGGCACACGAGCTGGGTGCAGGGCCGGGCCGGGGGCTGCTGTGCGGTGCCAGGTGTGGCACGGGGGCATGTGCGTGTAAATCCTTTCCACGCAGACCCTAGCCCGGGGAGGAGAGAGCTGCCCCCGTGTCTGCCCCGGCATCGGGCACCGGAGGGGCTCGGCAGGGCAGGGCCGGCCCCGCTTCTGGGAGAGCCCCGCGGTGGGGAAAGATCGGGGACAGCCGGGAGGCGGCGGGATGGGAGAGCAGCGGGAGGGGAGGGATGAGGGTTGCGGGAGGAGAAGGGGAGGGGACAGCCAGGAGCCTGGGTGGGGTGCGGGGGGACAGCGGAGATAATAAAGCCGGAGAGAAGGGGTAGACGGAAGAGCGGACCCGGGGAGAGCTGGACGAGCGGGGATGGGGCCGAGGGCGTGAGCGGGGCCGCGGGGCGGCCGTGCCCGGCGGGGCGATGCTGCCCGGGCGGCGGCGGCTCTGAGCGGGCGTCGCCATGGGCTGCGGGGGCAGCCGGGCCGACGCCATCGAGCCCCGCTACTACGAGAGCTGGACGCGGGAGACCGAGTCCACCTGGCTGACCAACACGGACTCCGAGAGCCCGCCGCAGGAGGGCGGCAGCGCCGAGGGCCCCGGCCGGGAGCAGGGCGGCCCTCGCCCCGGTGAGTGCGGGAGAGGCGGGCGGGCACCGCGGGGAGGGGAGCGGCGGCGACACCCTGTGTGTGCACCTACACACCGTGTGTGTGCATCTACAGATCGTGTGTGTGCATCTACACATCGTGTGTGTGCACCTACAGATCCTGTGTGTGCACCTACACACCGTGCGTGCACACGTACACATCCTGTGTATGTACCTACACGCTGTGTGTGCACCTACAGATCCTGTGTGCGCACCGGCCCCCGCTGTATATTCCCGTACACACCCGGTGTGTGTGTGCATGCAGCGGGGTGTACCCGTGTTCCTGCTGTGAGAAGAGCGTACCCCGCCGCTCCAGCCCCCCCGCCAGGAAATGCAGGCGCCCGAGGCTGCTCGGAGGGCCCGGAGCCTCTGCCCGGCCCGGCCCAGCCCGCCCAGAGCGGCCCCGGGAGCGGCCCCGGGAGCAGCGCCGGGAGCGGGCAGAGTCGGGAGCGGCCCCGGGAGCGGCCCCGGGAGCGGCCCCATGCGCTCCGGGCTCTGGGCTACCGGAGCCGGCTCGGGCTCTAGAGAGCCCCTCACGTCCGTGCTCGGCTGCGAGCGAGAGCGTACAGACGCCGTCAGCTGTGGAGCAATGTTATCAGAGGGAAGAGAACTCGGTCCTTGAGGTTCTTGAGGTTCTACCCATACGTGGCTTTTTCTTTTACAAGACAAGTAACTTAGGAAATAAATTGAAATTGAGGAAGAGGCAGCTTTCTTCCACACTACCTCTGATGCCTTCTCTTATACAGAAAGTTGACTAGAGGGTGGGTTGGATAGGAGCAGACCTGCAAGTTTGAATTTCCCAGTTCTTGTCAGTATGCTACATCCCCAGTTGTGCACCTGAGGTGTTATAGAAGTGACAGATATGAGAGAGGGATTGAGGAGCTCTGATCTGATGTGCAGTTTAAATTGATGTAAGAATTATTGTGTATTGCAGCAGTATCTAGAAATCTCAGCTTAAGTCCAGAAATTCATTGTGCTAGATGTTGTACAAATGGTTGCTGCCCAGAATAATTACAATTTCCATGTAAAGCAGTAAATGCCTATAGGCAGGTTCAGATGTAAATAAGTAACTTTACAGCCTTTGTAGAAAGTAATAAAGCATCAGGAAGAAATTATGAAAGTGCAGGAGTGAAAATTCACAAAGGTGGGGTGGGCATCAAAGGCCAGCTGGAATAGGGAGACCAAAACTCTCGGCTGACCAAAATGTGACAGGGAGGGAGAAGTCACAAAGGGTCTACATTGTACTCCTAAAGGCCAAAGAAAGACTCTGCAGTAGTCACATGGGAAACCATGAGAATTTGAAGGTGAATGAGTCTATAAGATACCATGTTAAAGAAGATTAGATAAGAAATTTAAAGAAGCTCAAGATGATGCTGAGCAGTAAGTTCAAATTATGGGTAACAGTGTTGTCTCCAGCAGTGAAAGCTAAACAGTGTTAGCTTTTTACCCACCATTATCTTAGCCATGTTTACTTTGAGTTGTGCCTAATCAAAAACAGAAGCTAGACAGTTCAAGATCTGACTCTGAACACGAGGTAATAAAGAGGTAGATCAGTAAGTATTCTTCCTAGAAACATGGGGTAATTGACTTTGTGTTTGGAGATGAGAATACCAGAGATAAGGAGAAGAGAACAACACTCGAGACCAGCAGAGACTGATGAGGGCATGAAACGCTTTACAAGACAACCTTGCAGGAGAAATCAGAAGGAAAGTGATGAGGAAAGTACAGAGTAGAAGCAAAAACAATTCACTCTTCAACAGAGATTCACTCTTCAACAGAGCTGTGGTGGCAGCAGTTTAAGGAGCCTGAGGAGCACACATTGCTCCCAATTAGTGCCTCAGAAGTCGTGAAGTACTTCAGGGAGAGCTGTTGTAGGGTAAGGTTTGAGATAGGGAAGGAAAAGGGATAAGGAGAGGTACTCCAGGGACAATAACAGTACTTCAAGTGAATTTACAGATGAAAGGGAGAGGAAGGAGCAATTGGAGGGGCAAATGAGGTCAAATATGGGTTTAAGACATGAAGAGGAATAGGTGACTTTATTGTGAGAACTGAAAACTAACTTAGAGTGAGAGACAAACAGAAAGGATAAGGGAGGGGACAAGAGCAGGATGGGAGAGATGGGGAAATGGGAGATGGCACTGGCACAAGGCAAGGCAGGAAGGAGCTCTAACTGGGACACAGAAAGGGAGGAGGCAGCCAGGCAAGGGGGCACCAGCCAAACGAGGTTGGGGAAAGACGATAAAGTTCTTCTCTGTCATTTTTCATTTGGAATAAACTGGTGAAATTCTGTGAAGACAGAGACATGGAGACAGGATGAAAGAAATATTTGGGGAAAAAAAATTTGGGAAAAGACAAAAGCAGTAAGAGGTGGTTGTGATTGCCAACATGTCTCAGTTGTAGAAAAAACCAGCAGAATTGGACATCAAAATGTAAAGAGGAGTAAATCACTCAGGGATGAAAGAATGTCGTGTATACAGAATCAGAGAGTGTAGCAGTGAGGAAAGGGTTAGTAACTCCCATACATTAATCTTAGTAATTTCATACCACCACAAATTTCATCATATGCTTCTCTTTTTTCATCCAGTACATTCAGGTTTCTGTGCCTGCTCTCATTGGAATTGTACGTATTTCTGTAGCCAAATGTTTGTACCTTTACCAAAGCATTTTGAAAGCTTAAATATTATTAAATTAATAGGAAAGCATTGAGTTTTTTTATTATTTTCTTATTTGCTTTTTTATTTTTCCAATTTCAATTGATCCCTTCTTAGAGTATTTATTAATTTCTCTACTTGATTTTTTACATCCATTTCTATAAAGTGTATTGTAATCTCCCTATTTTTAAAGGAAGACATAGAGGCCAGTATTAGTTGCTATAACATATCTAAAATAAGAGAGAGGGTCTTAGGTTCATGAGAAGTGACTTAGGGGATGAGAAGTCACCAACAGACACAAATATAGGTGCTTGTAACTTACATAGTAATGTCTATTATGTAACTTGATAGCATTGCAGTACACTCCTGAGGCTTTGCCAATGAGGAACAGGGCAACCAGGTATGGATGAGGAGGGATAGAAAAGTAACAACTCCATGAAGCACTGTAGGTGCTGGAATTGAAAGGCATTTTCTGGAAAACAAGTGTGCGTACTGTTCATAGGATGAGTGGCTTCTGAGAGAGAAAAAAAAGAAAGAATCACAATGAGCCCTTAGAATAAAGCCATTTCTTGGAAGAACATCCATTGCTATGTGAGCAAAGAACTTTTCACAGGACTGAGCTACTGCGTAGGCTATAGCTGGGGGAAATAATAGGCTGCATTTCTGCTTAGTAACCGTTCCTTGATCCTTGCAACTCTTTGCACAAATTGCTTTCTCTTTAGAGGGTCTGATTCAGCTAAGTGGAACTGTTAGCAAAGCAATGACTTTCAGAGGAAGTAATAATCTGTGGGTACAGATGAGTCCCCAGGGCAGCCACCACGGGTTGCACACAAACCACGGCGAAAAGGTTGAATTCACAAAAAGCACACAGAAACTCTCAAGTATTTTGGAACATGCTTGCACAACCTGTTATGCTGTGTTGGGATAGCTTGCTGAAATGTAGATGTAGATGTGGATGTAGATGTAGATGTATATCCTAGAAATTTAAGATGTATACTTTATTGCCAGAAACCAGAACTGTAAATGTACTCTATGAACACATTCAATATGAACAACAAAAAAAAAATTAATGTTGTTTGTTTTAAAGCAGGTTTAAAGCCATTTTATTTCTACTTCTTTCTATTTTCACTGATAAGGTTAGCTGCTGTATTCAATTATTTTTCTTTATTATACCTTAAAGCCCCTCAGAGTGGATATGGGTCTTTATCTTGTGGTCAGAAAGACTTTACAATCCATTTACCCCGCGGGCTGCAAGTCCCTTAAGACAGGATCTCTCCTCACTGTTTTTCCACAGCAATCAGTGCAGTAAGACCCCAGTCTTTAATAGGGATTGTTATTGAAATGCAAATAAAAGTAATTAATTTTTAAATGATGTAGCAACCAAGTAAAAAATAATTCTCTTGTCTCAGAATGGAAAAGCTGAATATGGATTGCCTCAGGGCTGACTTGTTCCTCAGCTATTAAATTACTTGTTGATTTTTTATCATAACGTCACCCACACTATCAGCTAAAATATTGCTTTTTATTCTTTGAACTTTACACTTTTTCCTTAGTGAAGTAGATTTGGGGGTTTTTTTTCCTGAAGCGTATTAAAGAAAACATTATCCATATTTCACACAGACTCACCTGATGTACTCAGGAGGACAACTTGCCCATGGCATCACCAAACAGAACTGCAGTAAGTGGATGCTGCCAGGAATGAAACCTGCAGTTTAGGATCAGTGAAGACATTTGCAGAACAGCTATGAAATGGGAGGGCAATCGAGTCCTTTGTAAAATAGAGAGAATCAGAGGAATACGGGGGAAATGTTATCACTGTCTAGCAGTCTGGCTGGCTAACAGTTTATCTCGCACGATTGCCCCGACATGCCTGTGTGTTTGTGAGTGATTCGTGCCCTGCTCTCTGGGGCTCAGTGCTGGCTCCCGCTGCTGCTCCGCCGTGGCCGGGTGGCTGACAGCTCCGGGTGTTTCATGGGCCGGGCTCGTCACTGCAGCTCGGCTTTGGCCGGGCCTCAGGATGCCGAATGCGGCGTTTCAGGGGCAACCTTTGGCGGGGAAGTTCTGGCCAGTCCGTTTCGGGCGGTGTGCGGCGGGGGCTGCGAGCCCGAGCAGCCGGGCCGGGCCGTGCCGGGGCAGCCGCACCCGGGCCGGGCCGGGCCGGGGCAGCCGCAGCAGGGCCGGGCCGGGCCGTGCCGGGGCAGCCGGGCTGTGCCGTGCCGGGGCAGCCGGGCCGGGCTGTGCCGTGCCAGGGCAGCCGGGCCGGGCCGTGCCGGGGCAGCCGGGCCGGGCCGTGCCGGGGCAGCCGCAGCAGGGCCGGGCTGTGCCGTGCCAG